AAATCTCACACATATATACACATACACACTCTTTTGTCTTAATGTGTAGATACGAGTTTTTATTTTATTCGTTAACGGATTATATCGCGCTTCTATTAAGCTGTCCACCAAAATAGACTGCAAATGTTAACATCGTCAATTGCGCATTTCTGTGATGTGTGATATTAATATCTACAATATATTTCGGCATATATATATATATATATCGGTCATGTGTATCTTCGCATTGTATGTATATAGAATGTATCTCTGTCTCGTATATGTATACAGGAATGTGTGTATCGGGGAAGATTTAAATATATATGATATATATCACACGCTAAATCACACGCGGTACACACACATTACGCACACGCACATGATTTCTCTTTTTCTCTCTCGCTATCTCTCTCTCTCTCTCTCTATATATATATATATATATATAGTGTGCATAGATATATACACACACATATATACGAGTAAAAATGCAACTTTGTTCATTAGTAAGTAACGTTATGGAATGAGAGGCGAATCGCTAGTTCCTCAGTTATATTTACAATGCTATTCAATTATATTTACGAATAATTCGCAGGCAAGAATCAAACAATGCGACTATAAACGATGCAGAAGCTTGTCGAGAATGAAACGTATGACAATTTTTTTTTTTTTTCATCGTATAAACAATGTGCGTTGTATAGACTTTTTGGCACAATACTCGGCAGAGTCATTTTATACGCGTCATTTACAGAACGTCATTTTTTTCCTTCCGCAAATACACACTTGTTTCCTTATAATAAAAGATAATATATCGCGCATACGTATATATTGTATATAAAAATCATTTGTAACGCACACAGTAAATGTGTGTATATATATATATATAATATATGTGTAAGTTTTTAGTCGGTTACACGAGACTGCAGGAATATTCTGCCCCAAGACAGATCCAATAAATCGTCAGAAATGTGCGTGCCTAAAAGTAAATACATATCGCAAGACGCTCTTATAAGTTCTTAGCTTCGCCTCTCGCTAGAGTCGCGGATTAGATATTATATACGAAACTTTCTTACGTTTATCTAGTAGACCATATAAGATTTTAGCGACAATAAACGCGTCCTTTCTTAATTTATTATATGTATACGTAGTTAAGAGAGGTACGCGCGTTTTTAGGACCAACAGTTCTACGCTCAAAGACGTCTTATGTAGATCCGTAGATGTATATAGCGTTGTCGCGCATACGTTAACGATCACATTTTTCACGTTTCGTCGATATAAATATGTTTTGCGCGCATGCACGCACACACACATACACACACAGACGTATACACGCAAATTTTCTTTCAATACGATGCTTTAATACTTGTCAGAAGGGAAGAATATTCCCTGTTTAATAAACATGTCATGATAAACTGCAATTGTGATCACATTGTCTTATGTAGCAAGGGATCGATACCAATATTATATACGCGTGATAACAGTTAAGCGGTAAAAAAATTCACAAGACGATTTTCCGAGATCTTTCTTTTCACGTCGCATCTCCTTGATCGCGGATTTTCTACGGGCATATTTTTTTTATTCACTTATGCGTAAGTCCTCTTTATTTTATTTTATTTTTTTTTTACATATATATGTACACGCGTTTGTCGCAATACAAAAGAACAAATGCATCTTTGAGATACGAGGATTATATAAATCGTACTGAGAATCTATCATCAAAATTGTAAAGAATTGTTCGTTTTTTTTTATTACAAAAAATGCTTTCGAAATTCGCAGCACGAAAGATTCCGATAGATAATTTCGCATATTGTTAGTCTTATTCAATTGAACGACGAGATATATCTAGAATTTTATATCCTTTATCACACAATATGTGTCGAAAACGCGAGTTATGATTGCATATACAAAATCTCCACGATCAATTCTACGTTTACAATGATTATTTTAATGCGCTTTATCCATTTGTTACAATTTCAATTCTCGCAGTGAAAAAAATTTCGGAGATATCACGATGTTAAAAGTTGAGAGATCAGTTTTAGAGCTTCCATATAATAAAAATAATGGACATAGACACATCTATGTACGCGACAAAATAAAGAGTTTGTCGTTTTATACATCATCAATTCCATCATTAGCTGCACAGATAAGTAATAAATACGATAAAAGCTGCCATTGAAAATTCATCGAATAAAAGGATTCGTTTAAGATTAATTTTCTTTTTATACATGGTAAAAACATATTATATACTGTATGATAAGATCTCGCGTAAATATTTCTACAAATTAATCACAGATTAAAGACATGTCGCGCATGATGAAAAAATATGAGTCAAAACGTGGACGTTATTCTCACTCACAAACAAAGAATACATGTGCACGAGATGTCATTAATTACGGCTTGTTACACGATCTCTTGGAAGACATCTACGCTTTTAGCACGCAACGTGTTGTGCTAGTTTTAGTTGCCGCTACTCGCAACGTTCTCTATACGATTTGGATAAAATCGATTCAGCCTATCTTTCGCTAAAACTGTGATGTGGCTTCGTCTATTCTAGACATTCTCGCGCTATTAAAATGGATGGACAAATGATATATAAATATATACACACATTGAAAACTTCAAAAGGATACAAAAGTATACTTTTTTTTGCTAATATCATCGTGTAACGCACTGCTCGCTAAGAATCTGTCTGAGGAATGATGCTTACTTTGACCGAAAATTGTCTCAATATCTTTAAAAAAAATTTCGAAATGCAATCAAAAATAATTAAGAGCTTGATACACACGAAATGCATAACGAAGCGTATATGGATAATAATACGTGAGTACGACCAAGTCGAAATAGAAATGCGTAAGAATGCAAACGTCGCGTATAAAACTAGTATAAGATTCTCTAATGCCACACCTTAACAGCAGAGAGAGATTAGTACTTTAGTCTCTGCAAAAACTTTCAGTACCCTGTCTCTAAAGTTAAAATATCGGTCAATATATATATATTTATATATACCTATGTACACAATTTAAGACTTCCTTTATGGCACGAAAGACGAAAAGTTACCTCGTGTGCCAGATATATCGGCGTCAACATATGTTACTTTTAGCGGGATAACGTAATGTAGATCATCTGTCAGAGCGCGATCAAACATCGACCACATCGTTGTTGTTGTAGTTGAAATTTGAATCGCGCAAAAATGATGTGCGACGAAGTTTAAAACTGAGACGATTATCCTCAACCATTTTCGGCACTTCCGTTACCTGCAATGCCAGAGTAGCTAAACTTTTTTATTTGTGTTATATAAAATCCAACTAAGATATATTTTATTGAAATTACAGTAAGATTATTTAACGTATATATGCGGGGCAAAAAAACAATCGCGTAAAATAATCTAGTATTAAGAAAAGCATATAAATGAAAGGTTTATGTCAGTGTCGGGCAATAATTTATTACTTTAGTGTATTACTATGACTTCAGCGAGTGATTAATAAAATAATCACGCATGATTAATTCTATTATTCATGAATTGTTAATTACTCAATAATTATAATATAAATTAATCTTATTATATAGATATGATAAGATTATTATATAGATATAATAAGATTGTTTTGCCCAACTCTCTATATAATACAGTATAACATAAATGCTACGAGTGGTTATTAATAAAAAAAAATTTAGCTCCGAGAGGATAATTAAAATAGGATCTCGGGAAGAAAAAAAAAATTAAATAAAATATACCTTGGCATCTGCTCGGTCGACAGAACGTTGAAGCAGCGACCGCCATGCTGTAGGTGCGGTATGCTCTAAAATAATAGGTAATAGGCGCGGATTGTCACATCGAAGGATTTTACATGCGTGTTTTATGCCTGTTACACTATAAGAAGCGTAAGGATGCGTACGCCAAGAAATTAACCATGCGATACAGCCGAATCGAAAATCGGTACTTACCGTTCTCCTTTTTGTCCGCCTTGCTCTTGTTCAAGCTCGCCGCCAATTCTCTCACCGATCTCTTCTCGACGCTCGTGTTGCTCAACGAGCTCGCAGTGCTACTTGCCGATAACGTCGGCGGCAAAGAAGCCGGCCCGCTGACACCGCTGTCAGTTGACTCGTCGAGAGCATCGCCGGAATCGGGTGTATTGCCGGCGGAGGTGTTTGGACTGGAGCCGTCGCTTAATAGACTAAATTCTCCTGTAAGAGATTAGGTAGATTAAGAAATATATCATTTTCCTTCTACACCAAAATGGCTTTCCACTATGATGATTATGCATCGAACATATAATGTTTTTAATGCTTATAAAATCTTGGTATTTAAAAACATGTTGGCTATCACGTGAAGAGTTAATCTTGCCTTTCGCTCTTAAATAGTTTAAAATAATAAGAGGATATATAATTTTAGCAAGGAGATGGCATGAATTAAAATCAGAAAAGCATCAGTAGAATATAATCAGCAAAGAGAGGTGGCATGAATTATAATTGCAAGAAAAATTCGTGATTTGGGGTGTATTGCCGGCGGAGGTGTTTGGACTGGAGCCGTCGCTTAATAGACTAAATTCTCCTGTAAGAGATTAGGTAGATTAAGAAATCTATCATTTTCCTTCTACACCAAAATGGCTTTCCACTATGATGATTATGCATCGAACATATAATGTTTTTAATGCTTATAAAATCTTGGTATTTAAAAACATGTTGGCTATCACGTGAAGAGTTAATCTTGCCTTTCGCTCTTAAATAGTTTAAAATAATAAGAGGATATATAATTTTAGCAAGGAGATGGCATGAATTAAAATCAGAAAAGCATCAGTAGAATATAATCAGCAAAGAGAGGTGGCATGAATTATAATTGCAAGAAAAATTCGTGATTTGGAAGTGTCTTCTACCGGATTTCCGATCGGTTGCCATGCTCCACGGTCGCGGCTTAGGCGCCGTCGCTGGTGGAGTCGGTTTATTTTTCAGAAGCGCGCCGTTGCTCTTTCCGTCGCTCGTAGACCCGCTACTCTTCACCAACGGTTTTAATATCGGCGATTTGGTCGAATCGGACGTACTCTTGGTACCACCACCCCCGCTGCTACCGTTTATAGGACTTCTCAGATCATGACCGGTCGATCGTAGCTTGACGGACGTCGATTTATCCGTGTCGGCCGTGGATTTCTTCACGGCACTTTTACGATTTTCCTGGTCTTTCTCCAACGAGCTCATTCCAAAGTCATTAATGTCGTGTGAGCCACGCGGACTCATGCCAGAGGCGTCTGTGGGCATGTAACGTTTAGAATCATCGCTCGCATCATTCAGGACGTTATTGCAAGCCTCCTTTGCGTGAGCTTCAGTTTTGGATCTCTCGTGAGCACTGTCCGTCGTATTTCTTCGGGCGAGCGGCGACGCGGTCAGCGGAGAATCGCCTTGAGATCTTCTGCCAACGAGGGGGGAAAATTTCTCCAAGTTATCGCTGGATCGGGAGCGCGGCGCGGGTTCCAGAAGCGTTTTCAGCATCGGTGAGTTACAACTGTGCTTCTTCTCCATATCGGGTGGAATGCTCTTGTGACTGGTCAATGATAAATTAGGACTGCCGTCCGTTGGAAAAGTATGTAGAGAGCTGTAAATTATAATAGGCAAAAATTAATTTCTATAGTTTACATACTAATTGCAAACGAAATTGTAAAAACTATATTATATATTTTGACAAAAAGTACAGAATACTTTGTATAGGAATATAACAAGTCTCTATTCATACCTGTCGTCACTCGTAGGCGATATCAAAGGCGTGGTCGGTGTAGTGGGTCGGAAAAATACATCGAGACCCTCGCCCAGAGCGAGACCGTCGATGGGTTGATCCGGTCTCAGCATCGGTCTTGTGGGCGCACGCGTTTTCGTTCTGCGCGGTCTAGACTTTACCAGATGTTGCAACTGCTGGCCCACGGTGTTGGGCAATTCCGAGACAGAGTCTAACGACTCTGTCAATGAGTGCTCGGTTTCTGAGATAGCTGTGGAACAATAATTATACATTTTGGAAGGTGATAAATCTGTGTGATGATTTAATTTATACAAACCTTCTGCTTGACTTTTCGGCAACGACGGTAAGAGATCCGGAATATCGTCGGCGGACAATCCTTCCACCGAATCTACCACGGACTTAGGTCTCAATTTCCTTCCATGCAGACTTTTACGTTTGTTCGACAAATGTGGAGTCGCCTAAATACGAGAAAAAAGTATATCACATCTCATAATATTGTACGTATCAATAAATTATATTGTAATATATTTATTATAACATATATATTTTACACTTATGTGCAATCATTTGCACCTTCGTAATACCTACCAGATTAAGATAATCCAATTTCTATGTGAGCATGTAAATAAAGATAATTTATAATTTAGCTGCTTTTATCAAGGAATGTAAAACATTAAATATTAGCACTTCGCGAAAAATATATTGGCATATGAAAGTTTTACAGACAGGAAAGTATATTTGAAATTCGTTCATCAAATGAATAAAATTGCTATCTAGCACGATGTTAAAGAACTCGAAAACTCTTACCATTGGTGATTGATCGTTGATGCACGGACCAATTGAATTTGCCAACGAACACGTTTCCGGCGTTTCCTCTTCGGATACGAGACTGGATCTGCCGGGAGGTAGAGTCATGGAGACGCCGCTCGCGCTAGTTACCCCTATCACGCTTCCGCTGCTCATCGAGCCGGCGCTAGGTCGTAAAACGTCTGGTGTACTGCTCCTTGTTCGACTATCGCAATCGCCAATCTGAAAGTGTTTTATTATATTAGCTCGTTGTATCGAATTATAAAAGTATCGAAATACATATCTTCAATCTTAAGGAAAAATTTATCAGTGGACAATATCAATATTTTTGTAAATCGATGAGTTTGTGTAATTGTATCAATATAAAATATGATTAAAGTTTAAAAACTTGTAGTCAAATTTTAGAATCAGTGTTCATTCTAACTAAATATTATCTGGTAAATGTATTTCCTCTTTTAAAATTCTATATAAAATATAACAAAATATATACACATAATATTTTTAACTTACCAGAGTCTTATAACTTCTTGACAATGACTCGATTACCTCGTCCGTAATTCTGTCGGATATATGCGCCGCAACTGCCAAGTTAAGCTCGCTGATATTTAAAAGGATCAAAACCGTTAATAAAATAATAGATCGTAGATATATTAACATCAAAATAGCATTAAATATGAATACAATACTCACTTGACTCTGTTAACAATATCCGCGCCAGCTTGTTCGGTAACGGTAGTATGGATGAATTCATTGTTGATTAGATTTTTCTCTTTGCAGATATTACGAAGATCATCCTGTACTGCGATCGGTTCACTCTCATCGCCCCTGATGACCGTTTGCGAAAGTATAGTGGGACATTGCTCGTTCGCGCACTTCAACATCGCGTCCAAAGAATCCTGGCATAATTTTTTTTATTTATTATTTTACGACAAGAGTGTATCTTGTATGACTATTTCAAGGGAAGAGTGTGAGAGAAATATTCACGAAGCTTTACCTGTAGATACATCGTCACAACTTTGTGAATTTCATTCGCCATATCGTGTAACTTTAGCTCAATCGGATTATTTTCGTCTCGTCTTTGAAGCACCTCGTGTAATCTCGGCAGTAGCTGAAAAACGTAAGGTTCTAATAATCTCAATTCTGATACAAAAATGAGTTCAGAAAAAAAAGAAATCTAGACCAAGTATCAAAAGTAAAATCTAATTTCTGTATTGTCGTACCTGTTTAGAATTGTCTGCGTCTTGTATAAGTCCGGTCGCGTAATTGATGTCGTTGTTGGCGTCGCAGCTCTCCGCCGCGAGGGTCTTGATGGTGTCCTGGGTTTGAACAACGAGTCTGTCGACCATCTGTTGCGTGGAGCTCAATAGAAATCCTTGCTGTAATCTGAACGCTTGCCCGTGGCTGTACTTGCACGGTGTGACGTTTCTCTGCAGCAGATCCTGTATCTTCTTGCCTAATTGCTCCGTTTTCTCCGCGGAAGTCTTCATACAAGGCTGCAGATCGTAAATCGGAAATGGCATATGCCGCACGCTACAATTTCTGCAAGAAAATTCTCTCATAAATATTGTTATCCTTCTTCCATATTTTTATATACACGAATATGTGCGCATACTTCTCTAGAGCGTGAACGATATCAGCATAGCCTTGCAGCGTGATATTATTCTTGTCATATATAATAGTCCGTAAATGATTGTTGATTTGCAACGCTTTCGCCAGCAACCTTGCGCCAGGATCCCCTATCTGATTACCACTAATATCCAAGGTATGAAGACACGTGTTGCTGCCAAGGGCGTTGATCAGGTTATAGAGATCACTCTTTAACCTCGAGTCGGGCAGATGCAACGCTTGAAGCACGCAGTCGTCTTCCTGAAGCATCTGCACCAGAGCGTCCATCACGACAGCTATGTGTTTGCTCTTCATACTGGCGGTATTGCGTCCCATGTACAATTGCTTGATCGATTTATTTTTACCTATGGCCGTTATAACTTGCGCCAAATCGACGTCCATGTCTGAAAGAACGAATAGCGTAAATTATGGAATGAGCAGTAGAATAAAAAAACTCGCTCTATTTTTCTTTCGTACGAAACAATTACTATTTTAGATTAAAGATTAAGGCAGAAAAGGCTGTTAAAAGTTTCGTGACTCTTTTTTGATTTCTAATATATAACTAAATATAATATATAAATATTGTCTCGCGATGTGTAATTATACGTACTACTATCCGATATATCCAACGACGCTATACATCGAACTCCGTGAATGCACGACTCCAAAACGTGCGCACCCATGGAACCCAGATTATTTCCGCTCATGTCAAGCTCTAGGCCGACTGTACTTTCGTTGCAAGCCAAGCCAAGTAGGAGATGTTTCAATGCCTCCAACGGTAGTTTGCACGAAGATATATTTAAGTACTTCAGCGAGAGAGTTGCCGTGAAAAATTGTTTAAAGCTCGGAGGTATCTCTTTGGTTTTCTTGCTCGAAAAAGAATTTCGGGCAACATTCAGGTGGACTAGATTAGTTGCACAACCCCGTAATAATGCACCAAACAGCTAATGCCAAATCATAAAGAACAATTGGAAGAATAAACGAGCCGGTAAAATTACGGTGGCGAAAATATATATGATCAAAAAGTATAAAATTCGCTACTTACACACTCTAAAGTAGTATCTGTACCGCTAAGATCCAAGTGTGTTAAGCTATTAGGTTGCGCCAAGAAATTGCACAAACTCTGCAATTACAAATGCACGAATTAGTATTCTAGCCGCGATTAAGATCCCTATAGCTTATTATCGAGGTCAATTGGTGATTCATTGCAAACTTACATTAACGTCATCTTTCAACGTATTCTCTGAAAGATTCAGATATCGCAAGCTAGTCGGCATACTTCTATTTAAACTTAACGCGTGTGCTATTTGACCTACACCTTTTCCGGTTAATCCACAATGGGCCAAATTCAATTTCTGTAAACCTTTAGGCAACTTGCCGATAGGACCGCTCAGATGTGTAGCACCTTCAAAATATGAATAACGAATTAATAACACACACACAATAAGCATTTTATAATTAAAAACTTTTGCTCAAAGATATCAATATTTTGTATATTAATGTGGTATGCTTATATACAAAGCAAATACATCTAGGATATTACATTAATTAAAATAAAAGGGAGAAATATAAGGGGATAAATACTTTGACAAAAATATAAAAGTGCATATACTTAAAAAAAAAGGAAAACAAAACAAAAAAAAAGAATAACTGGATATATATGAAAAGCATATTAAATATTAGTATAATTACTAGGGATAATAAAAATACATGGTTATTGGCACACCTTGCATTAACTTGGCTATTATCCCACACAAGCTAGAGGCTCCTACAAAAAATATAAAGAAAATTTGTTCAGGATAGTTTTGAAATTATGGCTAATAACTGGCAAATGGAGATTTACTTAACGAGAGTGCAGTGCAGATAAAGATTTAAAATACAAAGGGAATACAGTATAATATAAATTATTGGAATTAATTAATGATATACCTTTATCCTCAATCATATTGTGCGATAGATCTATTGTTTGCAGCATCGTATTAGCATTAGAAATTAGGGCTAATGACAGCTTGTGAGCGAAATCCCTTTAAAACCGAAATAATCGTATATTATAAATGTGCCATTAAATTCCTTTTTCTACAAAGCTAAAACACGCATCGCTCGAATCGTTACCATTTAATCCCGAGATTATCTAGATAGAGCTCTTGAATGGATAAAGATCTTCGCATAACGTGTAGCAATCTCTCTAGAGGCTCGTGACTTAATTTGAGATGAGACGCCCTTAATTTCGTGAACCAAGTATTGTATTCCAAGGCCGAGATAATTGGCACCAAATCCTTCTGATCTAAATGGTCAAAGTCTCTCAGATTCAGTTCTCTGGTGTCATGTGAAAGATATATTGTATCAACGTCCTGAAATTTATATTTTCACATAAGATTTTTGTACAAACAGGTAATTCTGTATTACACAAATTGGAGCAATGTCATTTATCTCACCCATGCCACCTCCTCCCTGTATGGTACGCTGTGCAAATCACACATGCATGCATACTGAGTAGAAAAACCACCACACGGCCCTGTATGTCTTGTGGCTTCTGTACTTCTAGCTAACTCGCTCCCTCGTATACTTTGCAATCTGCTAGCTGGTATAACTTCTATTTTTCGTATAATGTAACTAAAAATAATATTTCAAAGATTTGTAATCGAGGATTATAACAAACTATACATCATCAACGAGAATACTGCTTGTTTAGCTGTACAATAGAGCGTACTTTAATGGTACTGTAGGAAAGATATTTCGAATTGCCGTATGTAAGGCCTCTATCATGGCATCCACTTCCGTGGTGTCCGCGCCTATACTGGTTGTAGTAAAGTTGTAAAATCGTTCTCCAACTGTCAAACATAGCTGATTGGCTCTTCTCGATTCTATGGCCGTTATTTCTAGGTAATGAAAATGGCAGTCGATCTATAAAGGAATAAAAATTTGAAAGCCGTGTTATAATGAATACATAACACAATACCAAAGTACAGATAAACTCAACTTACTCTTGTGGGTACTTTGGCCGATAAGAGAAAGAGGCGACATGGCGAAAATACCTTGAGTAGAAAAAAGAAAAGATCAATTTATCTTAACACAAAACATATGACATATACTATCGTGAAAAGAGAGAGAAAGATAAAGAAAGACACAGAGAGACAGATTACTCACGAGAACACGATTTTCCTGTTTATCCTGCTTCGTTTCTAATTTCACCACGTTTTTTAACAGTATTTTCACATGCTTGCCAAGTAACGCTTTCACCGATTCTGCAAGTAATGAATAATTCACCCAATTGTACACGGGCTAAGTTGCTAAGCAAAAAGTGGCATGAAAATTTTACACTTGTCGCGTTCTTTTTTCTTTTTTATTTTTTTTTTTTGATTTTGAAAGATACGACAGACTAAATCAATCGCAAAACTCGCGGAAATACAGAACGTAAGGCGGAGTAAGATTAGTGATCACCAATGCATAACGGTAGATAGATCGTTCGAGGGGACGAATGACAGTTCGTCCGATTTACGAGAACGTAAACACTACGAGCTGGAAACGAACCGTTTAAATCCTTCGTGAGCTGCGACCGGGTTGACATTTTTGCTAGCTGAAGTCTTCCATTGAAGATCGCCGTTCCATTTAAAGCGCCGTCTCTCTCTCCGTCTCTTTCCTGGTCGCTGACCGTGGATTTCCCGCTTTACGTCGATTAGAGGAGCGCTGTCGAGACAAAGGGCGATGTCACGAGAGGACGAGCAGGCACTGCAGACAGTGCATCAGCAGCCATGTTGGCACCAGTCCGCAATTGGTCACCCACGATCACCGATGATCGGCGGCGAAAGCATATGATAAAAATAATATGAAAAAATCTGGAGAGTAAAATAAATATTTTCACATAGGCAAGATTGACAAGATTAAAAAAATCCACACATTCGCTTTTTATTATTCATCTCTATTTTTACCGAATGACTAAAGGTAGTCGGTAATATCAATGCTCTTCAATTATCTCCGGATCTACTTGACAGTATATCTGTAGTCCTTCTATAGATTCCGTCGATGTATGTGAATATATATAATCGTGGAGGATAAGATAAAACTGGCGACTCATTTTTTATTTTTATCTCAGTCTATGATTGATTATTCATGTTAATTTAAATATTACGTTTAGATAATCTTACAAGGTGACTATATTATCACATTTCAAGTGCAAACAATAAATATCGTTTTTTACTAAATATTACTTTTTATTTTATTAATTGTAGAGTATACTTACAATTAGCGCAATAAATGTGTATTCAATTCTCAGTTGTTGTGTTTAAGACTAAGATTCTTTTTCAGCAGCTTCAACATGACTATTTCAAAAATACTGATTGCTGGAGGACAGGCGTATCTCAGAAGATCTTATGCTACAGGATCTAAACTCGTTGAAACTACACGAGATAATGATACAGGTGACAATATTGCTGTTTCTGTCAACGTGTTTCTAATATATAGCCATTTTTTACTTATTTTATTCGATGATTTAACAGGGATTGACATCGTATCTATGGCAAGAGCACCTGTTAATAGTTTAAATACGGAGCTGTTAAGTGCATTAAAAACATCTTTATTGGAAGCTCAAAACAATCGCAGCAAAGGTGTCATACTCACATCGTCCTTGCCTTCAGCAGGATTAGATATCACAGAAATGTATAATACTGATAAAAAGAGAGCTACTGATTTTTGGAGCACGTTGCAAGACACTTGGTTAACTCTTTATAGTCTGAATATTCCTGTTGCTGCTGCTATTAATGTACACATACTTTGTTAAATGTTATACTAGTGTGTGGTATCTAAGTAACAATTTGATGGAAACAATACTACTTTATTTTGCACAGGGTTCTAGTCCTGCTGGAGGGTGTCTGTTGGCTATATCTACAGAATATAGAGTCTTCGTTGAAGGTAAACATACTATAGGTTTGAACGAAACACAATTGGGAATAGCTGCTCCTAAATGGTTTATGGATCCTTTTATTTCACTGGTGGGCTATCGACAAACCGAATTAGCACTTTTAAGGTATGTAAGATTAAACTAGTATGTTATGATGTGATGTTATTTGTAATGTAATATTTTAGAGGGTTATTATTTAAACCTGAAGAAGCATTGCAAATTAATCTCGTGGACGAACTCGCTAAAGATAAGGCCGATGCGATTGAAAAATGCAAAAATTACATATTATCATATAATAATATACCAAGTAAGAAAATATTATTGATTATGTATTTCGCAGAATTCTACTTTTATACTAATCACTTATTGCTTTCAATAAAGGTATAGGGAGGACTGCAACTAAGCTGGCAATACGAAACGATTTAATTCAGTGGATGAAAGAAAATAAAGAAGCTGATATTAACAAATTCATAGGATATATAATGTTACCGAAAGTACAAGCTGGTCTTAAACTTTATATTGAATATTTAAAGCAAAAACAGTAATTAATATCTCTATGAGAGACAATATTCTTGTTTTATACATCTTGCAATTGTTCCATACACATGCATGTAAAAAATATATTATTGCATATTCTTGCAATTAACTTCTATGTCAAGAAGCTCATAATGCAACTATATTTTTGAAAAACATATTTGATACAAAAATTGTTTATATATATACATATATGAAATTTTTTTATATACTTTTATATTATATAAAATGTTTTGTCAGAATATATATTTTAACAAATGTGTGACAGTTATTTTATTTTCCGAATTTTATTGTGTACTACTGAAATAGACAGAATGTTGTAACATATTAATCATTACCTTTAATGTAGCATCATCTAAGACAGTATCTGTCAAGTGTAATGCTTATGATAGACCTAGAAAATTTTTTTATTTGATACAGGTATATCTCTATTTATTTGTATTCGGGTTTTTATTACTTATATCAACACTTTTCAGTGCTTATAGTAGTGTCTCATTTTTTCTTGGAGGGTTTCTTCCTCTCAAGTATATTTTTGAGTATGTTCATCCCTTCACTCTCATTTTGTGAAGGAAATAATAGAGAGAAATCTCATTGTCACGAGGATATACCTAGGGTGACTTAGTCTGCCATTTGATTTAAAGTTGCGAAATAGACATCAATACGAAAAAGTAAACAGTATCTTGTCCATGTGATACTTTATTTTCCAAAGTTTGTTTTGTATCACCAAAAAGAACAGAATGTCGTAACATGTTATTAATCTTCCAATGTAGCATCATCCAAATCAATGTCAGCCAAGTCTATTTCTTGTGATGGGCTTAGCAAATTAAATTCTTGCTGTAGAAATTCAAAGAAATGCGATATTTCCAATATTTGTTGACGATTCCTTTTATTTTCTTCCCTATTTATTATAAAAATTTTATATAATCAGAAAATTTTTCTATTATAAAGTACCCAAGAATAAACGCGCAGATTAAAAATATCACAATAATAATTACTTACACAACTAACTGATTGATATAATCTTTGAACCAATTATTGAGCCGATTTATCATAAGTTCCTCTCGATTATCTATCACCTATAATTGTTTCGATATTTATCAATTATCTTAACAGTTTTGACATTTTCCATGCTCACCTGTAAATGTATATCGTGTGATGTGGTAAGAGTGGTAATCAAGGTATCCTTGTCACCACACAAATCTTTAAGATTGGCTGGTATATGTGCCTCGTCCGCAAAACCGCTTAGATAATTTAAAATTAATCCATTTATAGTATCGTTATATTCAGCCTGTGAATTTCGTAATAGAGAGAAGTACCCTCGTGCATTTTCTAAGAATAAATTGACCATGTCCATCATGTTAATCCTAAAGACTTCATTTATATCCTTTTTTTAATGAAAAAACAAGTATTTCTTAATCAAAGTATCAAATTAATCTCTTATTCGCAATACTTTTTGTAAATTAATGTCATGCACGTACTTGCATCTGATCATGTAATATAACTTCTTTAGACATTAATTGATTTCGTGCCTTAAATAACAAATCATTGAATTCATTATATAATTCCGTCGCTTTCGCAGCAATACCATCAGTTGCATCGGCTTCTCCTTCTTGCTCTTCTATCAAAGCTTTCATTACATTTTTTATATTTGCAAATATCTCCATTTTACTTTCGAGTACTTCATCCACAATCCTTAAACAAGTAAATTGAAGAAAGAAAAGTTACGTAGATAATATAGGACGTTTATATATTAATAATTAAAATAGATCACACTCATGTATGATTGACCATAACAAAAATATTTTCGAAAAAATTTTCTTTTTACTCGTTTCTCTTACTTTCTTGCTACATTTTGCTTATTTTCCTTGCCTTCGTTAACAACAAGTTCAAATAATCTTATTTCCTCTGTTCTTTTATCATGTTCTTGTAAGCCTAATTCATATAATTCATGGCATATTGTAGAGAAAGTCTTTTTGTATTCTTCAAATGCATTCTGTGTATCTTCATTTATTGTGGATAACATCCTGCCCGCTATGCATATATACATTTAAATAAATGATATATATATGCATAGTAAGGGAGATGAAATAAATCTACCTTCATCGGAAGAAAACATTTGTTGAAAAAGATAATCTTCATCAAGATACTCCACGTATGATACAGATAGTAATGCAAGCTTGTCATTAAATTCTCGTTGTAATGCTAATTCTGTTTGTACTTTTGCCTCATTTTCCTCAAGATTACTAATTATACGACTATAGAAATAAAATAGCACAATTATTCACATATATACTATATATAATGCAAAATATAAAGGCTTTTTAAATATTATTGTTATATTAAAATAATCACTAATGCTTATCGATGGCGGATTGACGATCGCTTACAGATATCATTCTATATTGATAGTAAATTAATTGTGGCACAAATGCAAACAAATAATCCAAGTATCCATCCATTTCAGTGCAGGGATTATCATATGTGTTTAAACTTCTGAGTGATTTAAAGTCACGTAAATATATGACCTGTATTAATAGAACTTTATGAATAATAAAGAAGCAATATGTGTAAGAGAGAAGGAAAGAGAGAGACAGAGAGAAAAACAGTTAATTATATGCACATACATGCTTCCAGTCCTTGATCTTATTTTTACCAATATTTAAAATCTTCAATTTCTTTAAATTATTTATGCCTTGTACAATAGAGATTTCATTACTGTATAAAAGCAAAATTTCCAGTTGATCTAAATTATCCAAGTTTTCCATAACTTTAATACAATTAAAGGAGAGATCCAATTCCTTGAGATGGACAAGTTCGTCCAGATTTTCGATTTTCTCAATAACATTATGGGATAGTGACAATTTGACAAGGTTTTTCAACAGCCAAAGATGGTCGATGTTTAGAATATCTATAACAGATACGTGATAAAAAAATTAGAATAGTAAAAAATTCACATTGCTATATATATATTTCTAACATTGTGTGTATGTGTGTATATACAGGGTGTATCTGAAATGATGCACTAAACTTTAGGAGCATATTCTGGAGGTCAAAATAAGACTTTTTTTCCTATGAATATGGGCCCGCAAATGAACCCTCCTCCAAGCTAGAGGCCCCTACAATTTGGGGAAAAAATTGAAAATTGGCTGTATTTCAGAAAAAAAAATTATATCGTCGAATAATCGAATACACCCTGTATATATATATATATATATATATATGTATGTATGTTTGTGTCATAAAAATGTTCATAAAAAGTTGTAGAAACTTATAAAAATGTGTACAAATATTTTTTTACAATTCACTACACAACTTGTCTTGAATAACTTCTAAATTTTCACAAATTTGTAGAAAGTTGCGATTATTGAAGATTTTATTTTTTTCGTACGAATACACGTAATACGTAAATTGTTATAAAATTTTATTTCCACCAGAAAAGCAGATATTTATAAGCGCTTACTAAGGAACTCGATACGGATTTCCTTCAATCCGTCCAATTCGATTCCGTCTTTGTGGAATAATCTGCCGGCTTCTTTCTTCGGTCCCTGATCGATCGCCAGGGAGACAAGTATACTTCGAGTTATCACGCCGGGCTCTGTAGCTTCGCGCAACGCGCTAGCCGTGTCCACTTGATACATTTTCTATTCGGAGTTTATCAGTTTTTTAAATATATAGAAAGACGAATTCGATGGATCTTTCCATCTAAAATTCGTAGTCAGGCAAACGTCACGAATTTGTTTATGTTACCCGCGTGACCGTAAAAAAAAATTATATTCGGCGCATATGTATCATGACACCCGTGTATACTCTATATAATTATATGTTAAAATTATATTTCCATCGATCAATTTAATATTATATATATTAAATTATTATTTAGTTTTTTAATCTCAAGTTTATAATTCTTTACATCACATACATATATATAAATGTCAAATCATCAGCTGTGATTTTTTGAGCCACGGCCATGATACACGAGTAATCTAGATGACATTACTTACAATAATATGTTTAATGCCAGAAATTTTTTAAGCTAATTATAATCGTCTTTTATTAATTTTTTATTATTTATTTGTGATTCATTAATTTGTAAAACATTTTAGATTATTCTTAACATTGTCTGAGCAGAGGGCTTAACAGTATCCTTTTTCTTATAAATTTGACAAGTATCTTAAGGCCATGTTTAACGCGCATGCGCGAGAAAGCGTCCCCGAGAACAACATTGTCTCGAACCCATAGACATAGTATGCCCCCACTCCTCAACACTCGGTCTAGATATACTATGTCTATGCCTCGTATATATTCCAAACGTGCCCAACTTCAAGTTGTAGAGACGTCGAAGCTCGGAATTTTCAACCAATGATGAAAATTGACATAAAGTAGTCGTATCATATTCTTCTTTTTTTATGACAGAGAATCGTTGACAGCTATCGTAAAATAGGTAAAATAAGTGTATCCCTGTTCCAGTACGAAATCACGTTTTAATAAATTGGTAATGAATTTCGTTATCTATATCCAGCGATGAAAATTGTTATCATAATCTTAGATAATTAAAAAAAATTTAGATTTATACGAAAAGCCACTCAAAAGTGTGGAAATATTTCGATTTATAATAACATTCAGAATAATAACTATTAAAGTATATATAATAAGAATATGTGTGTTATACAATTTATACAATCAAATAACAATCGAAAGATATCGATAGATGTTATTTTTTCACATATCTAAATTTTTATTTATTTTAGAAATATTAATCCATATTTTAATTAATTATTAAAAGATAGATATGGCAACATTATTAAATTATCTCTATAAACACACACACATATATATATGCTAAGAAATCTACAAAGATATATTTTAATTAACATTATTTGTTTAACATTTAATAATTTGTTTAATAATTAATTTTAAAAAGCTTGTGTGTTTTTAAAGGTTAATTACCTCGGTACAGGAAAATATGGCTACAGTATCATCAACGAAGGAATTTTCTTTGAGGTGGAATAATTTTTCTGACAATCTGTCTTCTGGTTTTCTCTCTCATTTGAGCGAGAATGATTTGGTTGATGTAACACTTGCTGTGGAAGGACAGTTGTTAGCTGCTCACAAGCTAGTCCTTTCTGTGTGTAGTCCCTATTTTAAAAACATATTTAAGGTATGACTTTATTATTAGTGATATCTTGGAAGAAATAAATTCATGAATAAAAACTTGAAATTATCATGCCAGGAGAATCCCTGCCAGCATCCAGTGATAATATTGAAAGATGTAAAACACGCAGAAATTGTAGCTTTGTTGAGGTTTATGTATCAAGGAGAAGTGAACGTGAGGCAGGAGGATCTGCCAACTTTCCTAAAAGTGGCACAGATGCTTCAGATAAAAGGATTGGAGGGCAGCGAAGGGCAAATCATACCACTGTTAAACAATTATGCCAATGTATCGGATCCGCAATATGATTCTGAAAATGTAACTATCTTACCAGATGTCATGAATGAACGAGAAAATACTTCAGACGAATCTCCACATTCTTACAAGATAGCCAAGAGAAACACCAAAAAGAGAAAGAAACATATGGTTGAGAATGATTACAATTTAATAAAAGAATCTAAAAGTGAGCCAAATGTTAACAGCAAAGATATCTGCCTCTTAACAGATGATAATGAGAAAGAAGTTAATGACTCTGAAAGTGAAAGGGACAACATTGCTGGTCATGTCAAGCAACTTAACACAACCAGCAATGCTAATAATGATAATGAAGAAATAATCGAGTTGCCTAATAAATCGAATATGGAAGAAAATTCGATACAATCAGGTATGATATTTTATTGAATTATCTGTCAGTTATTTGCTTGGTGGTGCATGGATCTTTGTGTATCCAGACTTTTGCTATAAACCGATCTGATTATACTTCTTGACAATTTAGGGAATCAAATAGTTTCAGAGAATATAGAAAGACGAACTACCGAATTTAAAACGGGAAATATTAGACCTTTATCCGAAAAAGTTAAATGCAATTGAAACGTCGGGAAGAAACACAAAAATATCGTACAACTGCAACAGAACAAAAGAGATGTTTTATATATATCAGAAATGATAATAAGCATAGAATACGATGTAACAATTATCAAAAGTATATATGTATTATATATTCAATAAGTAAAAGCAATGTCGTTTGTACACATTGTAAAAACTCGGATTAAATATTGTCCATTTGCACTTGTATTGTTTGCTTATCGAGAAGAAAAAAGCTTTAAAGATCAATTACTTTAATAAAAAAAGAACTTGTTCTGAGATACATATAGAAACGAGATTAGTCTCTATGGATCTAAATGAATCCAAGCACCGTCGTTAATTTACTAAATCTGAAATATTCGTCTCAAACATTCGATGTCGTGAAACAAAAATTGCAATTTACAGCTGTGGAGCCAGTGATTTATAGGCTATCCGCCAGAGGCAAGCCGCAACTGGTTCACGAGGGATACGTGTATAATTTGACCTCTCGTTCAAAGATATACAACAACTCGCATTACCGTTGCGCGGAGCAGCATCGCGGTTGCCGCGGCAAATGCTCGGTGATCGCCGAAAGGTTCATGCCGACGGGGGTGCACGATCATAATCATCCACCGAGTTATCAATCGGAATACGATTACAGAAAGAAAAAAGGTTTAGACACGAGCAATGTCTAAGGGACATTACTTCATGCTGCATTTCAAAGTACTCTAAAATTAAACTCAGATGCATGTATCTTGCTCTATATATATCTTCAATACCCAGCAATTGGAACAGACGATATGCTACAAGTAAGAGAAGGTAAATGTTCATATTTTTCTGATTTGGACTTAAGAAAACAAAATAATTTTTGTATATTATGTAACTCTTTGATCCCAGAGATCAAAGATTTATATCCTAGCTTAGAGACCATTACTGGCAAAATATAGAATCTAGATATTAGTCTTGTAAAATAATTAGATTCTATAATTTGGCAATGCCGTGCGCTCTGCTGTTCAGTGAAATCGATATTTCGTTCACACACATAATTTGTATTCATAGTAATAGACATTCTGAGAAATTATTCATTATACCATTACATCATCAAAAGTATTATATTTCTAAAGCTTTGTATAAATGTTTTAAAGCATGAGCAAATAACTTTTCTACGATGGACTTGCATTCCAGTGTGCTTTCATGTAAATAAAATTAATAATTTTGTATATAGTTATATTCAATCTCTCTTTCAGGCTATCCTAGTTAAAATTCTTGATTTGATCCCACATTCTGTGCTGAATTATAATATAGAATTGAAAAATATTTCACGCAATTTATTCTCGTAGTATACGTCGAGATGAATTAGTTCTGTTGCATATTTTTTTCTTTTTTAATCCGTTTTCAGCTCCATTAAGATCAATTTGCTCCTTCCAATTATCCTTATTTAATACTAAAGTCTTCCAGAGAAGTCTTTTTTTTTTGTAGAAGAAGCAAACTGTATCTTTCTGAACATTTTCTGCTAATCCTACATGATCTTTCGACTGCCGGTTCTTTTTTCTCAGGAAAAATTTGCCGAGTTAATTGGATAATGTAATTACACTGACAGAATGAATTCGGTTTGACTCTCTAATTAGATAAGTTTTAATTTATAAAAACAAATCGCGAATTTTTCACTGAACAGAGGCGTTCATATGTGAAAGCCAAAACGAAAGCTGTGAATTAAACGGACATGTTTAACGTTAGATGAGAAGTACAAATGTTGGCCTAATTTTAAAGAGACTCTTTGCACATTATAAGCATTTCACGACCAATATATACAAAGAGTTCAACAATTATTATAAAAAAACAACTATAACGCCGTTTATACAAAGTCGATCGAAACATTGTTAATTCCTATAAATGTCCACATTCCCATACAAAGATATGTACTATATATATACTATATATATACATGTATATAACATTAGATTTAAATGCAATACTGTGATGCGTCAGTTTGTCACTTTCAGAATCTAATAAATAATGATTTATATTTACGTGACGTCGTTGAATAATAATGTAATTGTAATATATACATTCCTTAGATTAATGATAATCTGTTTTGAATCGGATTTTCATTTATATCGGAAGGAGAACGATTGAACTTTCAAAGTTACAATATACATAAATATCATTATATCTATTACCTTGTTCGACTTTCATTTATTGATATTTTTTGAACGCGCGTTTTGATATTGTTATCTCTCCGTTTTCGTGAAGGCACCTGTTCACCACTTTATTAACATTATATTCAAATCCTCGCACGCACATTGCCGTAGTATCCGTTGCCGTTATCATTATAATTACAAAACACCGTTCATGTTAGCATTATAACTAACGAAGTTAGACAAGTAGAAATGAAAGCGCCGAGATACTTTTTATCTAGACTTCTACGGTTTTATTCCTATAAATATAAGCCAAAGATAATAGAAAGAGTAGCTATTAAAATATTAATATATAATAAATATATAATATTCTTGTGTTCAAATAAATATATTAATACATTTTTATTACATTTATTAAGTCCTAATGATTATTTAGCATCGTCTTCGACTTATATAGGAATAAGTCCGTAGACATTACTAAATAAGAAAAGAACGTGTGTTCAATCCTTCTAATTTTGAGACCACACATCGAGATAGTCTATCGAGAAATAATTATACGGAATGCTCCAGTAAGAACAAAATCTATCTCCCTCCATCTGTCCCCTTCTCCCAGTTCACGATTCTTTTGAATTTTGTAAAACTTTTTTTTTAAAATTAATTTGTCTCGTAAAATTGCGCAAATCCCAAAGTTTCATTCGATTTCAAATTGTATTCTGTTATAACAATTTTTGATATCCTGAGCATCCATAGGAGAGTCTGTTTTAACCTTCCTATCTTCCCGGTTTCTCAAACTTACTCTCCAATTCCCGATTGAATCAATTATTGTACAATCGTCGTATTGCACTGCGACAACTTTTGGTAATTTCATTAGTGCCGTCTCGCCATTTTTTTTTCCAACTTGCGTTGTTTTTTTTCGCTTATCTCGGGCTGTTCTTGCGGCTGAGCGAAAAACCATGGAGCCAAGATTTGCTTCCAAAGCATCCAGCTTCCTCTCAGTGGTACCTATGGAATTTTTGTACCATAAAATTTTCATATTGATGAGAATTCTATGTATACGCAGACATTTTGTAATCTAGAATAAAGAGAATTACTTAAACAATTACTTTTTATCAGAATACTTACCAAAAGCCACAACAGCCAGAAGTAGTTTGAAATGAGAGACAGGATTTGTATTCCCGATGTCAGTATGATTAAATCCTTGACATGTCTAAATGAAACAATAAAACCTTATGCAATGAGCAGTGAAAAAATCACACAGAATATAACAATATAATAGCAAACAAAAAAGGATTCTATTCAAATACTCACTCCGCTATACCACCTTCCATATTGAGATCAACACCACAGTCCAGGAGTTGGCCGGATTCTGAATATGTAGTGCGAGCCATATAGGACATGAATTGATAGCTTCCTATATATACAATTGTAGAAAACACCATTATTATCTGTAATGAGATAACACATGCTATTTATAAAGGAACTTTTTGAAGAGCTACAGTGTTTTGAATCAGAATTCATCAGATGTGGAACTTACTATCGTCAGTGCAGTTAACTCAAACAGCATCATTGTTACGGCAAAGTAAATTCCCATTGCGCCTAGGGCCATGTAAGTGTAGAAGCTCAACGTGGAAGCATTCTCCTCCTTTATTTGCTTCGCTCCCTTGGTCAGTACCTTACCTTTCTTCGTCTGCACAGAATACAAAGTCAGATACTCAGAAACGAATATATTTCTTAGTTTACAGATCATCGCTGATAACGTCGACACGCAAGTAAGAGAATTTTACATTATTTTTAAGTCAACTTATAGTATGAGTATCTCAAACAAGACTCAAAATCTTCCTTATGGAAACAGTGTCTAATTAAGAATAAACATTTACTACGAGAAAAATGTGATTATAAAGACTCGCGAGACTCACTGTCATGTTGATTGTACTTTCTGCTAAAAGAGTTGCTCTAACTCAGGTAAATGACATTAAAACTGACACCCTGATGATGAGAGATGACAAGCGGTTAACCTGATGTAGCGCAATGTCATGTACACGTGAGTAATTCATGAACTTTCTCAATATAAGATGTACCACAACTTGTATTTTTTTGCTGGATTCAGCAGTGATAGCGCGCGAAGGATGATCAAATTCAAATATATATTCATAATAAAAAATATATAGAGGATAGATATGTGTGTTGTGCAGAAAGAATTCGTATATTATTTAAATACGAATTTACAAAATAAGTAACAAGCATGTACAATTATGAAAAATGTCACTTCTACAATTATATGTGTTCTGTCTGTTACTTTACGTGTGCACATCGATGGTCGGGATGCTGACTATTCCCTGGACCATGACGGCAGAATTGTTCCCGACCGAAATCCGCGGGATCGCCCACTCCATCAGTTATTCCATGGCGAACGTGCTCATGTTTGCCGCGCTGCAAAGTTATCGGAGCTTGCAAGCTTTCCTAGGAGGTACGCGACACTCTATATATCTTATAATTATTATATACTATAATTAAGCAACGTGTTTGTATCAAAAGAATAATAATAAATATGTAACATTAATAAAATTCATAAATCTTACAGTTTTAAACAATTTCGAGACTTCTTGAGGAATCTTAAGAAATCTATATAAAAAGAAAAAAAATGTATTTATTCAATGCTGATATAATTATATTCGATATTAAATTTACATGCTTAACGAATGCGGAAGTTTAATGATAAGAGAAGTGTTGAGGTTTTTTAGTCATCCAGCTCCAAGCGTAAGGATAGCCGGAAAAGAGATTCAGATAAAGCGCGAGATCCTCTAGAAATCTCTAGATTGTTCATACGTTATTAAACGTTTCTCTTTCGCGATATTCTTCGGATCTGAAAAAAACAGTGAGTTACTTGTTGAAGAAAACAAAATTTGGGCATGTTTGAGTTCGGACGATCGGAGGGCTTCCCTTCGCAATATTCCGCGCATCATACTCCAGTGACGATAGACGTGACCGAGACCATACTAATCGCGATTTTCGTGATTATTTCGGTCGCTTACATTAGTATTATACCGGGCTACCGGAAGAGGCAAGTAAGTATAAAGCAAAATATAATGGAAAGATTTCAATTCTTGAATGTCTCCCAAATAATGCAAAATGCTCCAAAAGAAATTTGAAGTCTTTCAGACATTTTCTGACAAGATGTTTTCCCCCATATTTTTATATCATCTGATGAAAGAACCTTTTCCTCAAAAACTCTTTATTAAACTTATACGAAAAAATTCAGACGAGCCACTCTCCGAGAAATTATGTCTAATAATTTAAATTTCTACTTTAAATAATATTATAAAATAATATCTCAGAATACGAAAAAAGCTGCATTTTAGTTGCATATAATATTTAACTCGATATAACATTACTTAGAATTATGAAGTAATTCCATTTTAATTGCAATTCTAAAGTTTTGCATCAAGTATTAAATTTGAAAATTACGCTGCTGAAATTTTTGTATAGACTTATTGTTTCACCCGTGCTCTCTGACTTCAATAGATTTTCTTTTTGTATAAATCCCACGCGTGTACTAATGAAATAATTATCGTTATCGCATAGAGCATCTACGTAACTATAAAAATCGGCTTCAGCATCGTGATTGGATGCTTATTATTAAGTAAGTATATCTTTAAAAAAAAGACTTCATTTTTTCTACTTGCCTATATAGAGTCAAATACACAAATTCACCATTGAATGTTAACTTGCAGTAGAGAACTTTGGTCAGGAATGGGAATACGGTAGCACGAGAAGCAAAACACCTTATCGAGCCGGCGTAGGCCAGGAGATCGAGGCTCAAATGGCAGTTAAGATAGGACTGAGATCGGTGAATATCACGCTGAAAGGTAATTTGTGGAATTAATCAAAAATAAAAAGGTACAAGATTCGCATCTTTAGGAATTTTATCTAAATAAATATTTGTCCTGCGACAGATAGATGAATGAAAAGAAATGGAAGAACAATCTCAATTATAAAAATTCGTAATTTTGCGTAAATGCTCGTGCGAAATTGTTTGAGAACAAGACATATTTATCGATAGTAATTTTAAATGGACGAGTAGTAGTTTAAAGCGTGGCAATTTTCAGCATTAAAATATATACGATGAAAGAGATACTACCTTCTTATTTAAGGTAAAGAAATTAAAAAAAAAAACTTTCGTAAAATAATTTTGTAAAATCTAATGTTTTTTATATTAATATAAGTTTATGTTTTTAAAGAAAAGTCTTCCAAAACGTTATTTTTAATTTTGCAGATTAAATTTCTTCACGCGCGTTTCTTGTAAATAAAGTTTGAAAAATTATGTTCTAACAGAAAATTTTTTTCAGCTGATCCGGAAGAAGGCACGCTACTCGCAAAAGAAACAATCGATTATAACGAAAGATTTCCATGGACATGGGACCAAGGCAGGATCGGTTTTGGACCCTACGGTATATATATATATATATTGTAAATTATCGCGTTTTGCTACAGTATCTAAGTAAAGCCATTTAAATAAAATTTCTGTAGCCGGACTGCTGCAAAGGACCTTCCGCGATGGACAAAGGAGGGGTTTGCCCATTCCTATTTTATGGATCGCCGAGTATTTCGTTATTGATGGAGAAGGCATTCGATTCGGAAGATTTTACAGAACTGCCGGGTGGTACTGTCACATCTTACTGTGGTCAGTATAAAAAAAAAAACATAAAAAACAAAAATATATAAATACAGAAAATAAAAATAAATAATTTTGTATTTCTCGCGTAAAATGTAAAATGGATATCTATTTTTTAGTTGTATCTATTTTTCGCAAATTGCGTTCTCAATTGATGCGATAAAATTTCACGAGTCTATAAATTAAGCTTTAATTATAATTATTTTCCTTACACAAAAATATTTCGAAAATTCTCGGTGATTCGTAGGACCGCCTTTGCCTGCTGGATACTGGCTAACATATTCCTGCAGTCTGTGAGCCGGTACGTCGCCTATTTAACCGGCTTGATAGGCGGCTTGCAGTTGTTGACTTGCCTCGTGTGGATCTGCGTACACAATCCAATTCCGCTTATAATTCCTTTCGAAGACGGTGTCATTAAGATGGCATTAGGCCTGCATTTCTGGATGACTTTCGGATGCGGTAATTAATTTAGACGCTATCTAGATTAGTGGTCGTCGATCTCACTCGCTATCTATAATTTCTGAATCTTTAACACGAGTGAATTTTTGGACGCTGATTCTTCAACTTCCGTATTCTTCCATCCTGACATTTTCAAACTCTCTTTCTCACACAAATCTTCTTATTCTTTTAATAAAAGATATAGAAATATAGAAATTAAAATTTTCTGCCTTAGAATCTCAGGAACCTCTGCTCAGGAACCCTTGGAGTTTTTATCAATAAAATTATTGATCTAAAGTTTATTAATGTTAATACTATCAAATTAAAAGTTCACTGCCATTTATTCATTTAATTTTTTTCTAGCAAAACTCGTAGTATTTGTAATATTTACTTATATCTTTCCACGATATTTAGAGCATCATCTTTTATATATTTAATTGCAGGTTTGTTTTGTGTTCTTTTGGCGATCATAATGATATTTATGGACTTGCGTTATCCAAATACGCTATCTACGTTTTTACAAATAGATCCACTCGGGCAATACGATGAATGCGTAATTCGTAAGTACATTAACAATTGTATAATTTATAGCAATTTTAGGATGTCCAACAGAAGTGCTCCACTTCTATGACATTTCACAGAGAATGCATGTCACATTTGTTGTAATCGACAGGAAGTTGTCAAGTGGACAATGTGTTGCGTAAGAAGGTACATATGGATGACTCGATGGAAATGACTTCGACCTCTGCGCAAGGAAACACAGGAATGGTGAGCTATAAAACATTAAGAAGAACGCTTTCAAATTGTCACAATCGTTAAATAATTAATAATAAAAAAAGCAGATGGTATTGAAGAGGAGATCGACTGCCTTCCGCGCGCCAGTTCCCATGAAAATGGAAATCTACGACGACGTGGCCATTTATGAGAATCAGGACATAGCAGGGTATGCTCGCCTATTTTTAAAAATTAACGATAATTTGCAATATATTGTTCTTTAAAGAAACCTATTTCTCTCATATGATTAGGTGTTTACTCTCGTATTTTTATTATTTGTCATTCACTCTCTTACAGTTCTGGTCAAAAGTATGAAGCACCTTTAATGTATTGCAGTAAGTCAAAACAGAAAGTATTCACAAACTAAAAAGCGCAACTAAACTTTCATAGTCGATTAAGATTTAATTTACTGAATCACAATCAATAATACAACTTCTAAAACATCGCTATTATTTTTATCTCGCAAACATTAATCGATTTGGCATAACACAATTATCGATTAAAGACGCTCTTGTTTGTGACCAAGACTGTACCATAGAAGGATATATGTATAATAGCGCACTATTTCATTTATCCCTTTGTTTCTTCTAGACCATCTAAAAGCGCGCCTAAAATGGAAGTGAGCGATGAGCAGAAAGAGATCAAGCCGCCGCCTGTTCCGAGAAAGAAGAGGGTAAAGGTCGATCCCTGAATGCTAATCGATCGTCTATTTCCGATCTATCATCACGAATAGATCGTCATTTTGAAAGAAGAAGCTGGATGGTATATAAATGCGTGTATTTCTGTATCTTGTATCAATACACGTAGCGACGAAGAAAGGTAGCTTTTTCGAAATGAACGAAATGATCGAATGCAAATGGGATCGTTGTCCTAGCCTTTCTCTAGCTCTCCGATTCTGTTGTCTTGTCCTTGCTGTCGTTGCTTTCCGACGCGGATCTGCCCTTCTCCTCCGATTGTTTCGACTCTGATTTGTCACTAGACCGTTTCTCCTTACTAGATTTCTTTTCGCTTCTGCTGCTCTCCTTCTCAGGCCTCTCCCGGTCGCTATCACTCCTCTTGCCATTGTCCGACTTGTCTTTGCTACGCCTCTCGCGCTCCTTATCCTTGGACTTGTCCGAATATTTGGACTTGGATGATCTAGATTTGGATTTGGAACGTGAACGTCTGGATCTGGACTTGGAACGTTTACTATGCGACCGCGAGCGACTACGACGTCGCGGTGACCTCTTCTTGCGCTCCTTTGACCTTGAGGGCGATCGGCGTGATCTAGAAAAATTATGATTTATTATAACGATTCTGAAAATTGGCAAGAAGATGAAAAATCGTTCAATCGTACCTCGAGCGCCGTGATCTACTGCGCGAACGATGGCGGCTGCGCGAGCTGCTGCGTCGTCGCGATGCCGAGCTGCGCCGGCGATCCTTGGATCGAGAGCGTTTAGAGCGTGAGCGAGATCGCCGCCTGTGACGGGATCGCGAGCGTCGGTGACGCGAGCGCGAACGTTTGCGCGATCTCGAGCGGCGGCTGCGACCGCGGGAGCGCGAACGTGACTTGCGACTACGTGAGCCACTTCTGCTGCGCTTGTCCTTGGACAGCATGCCGATCATTGGATCGATCGCGGCGGATATAAGATTGTGGGCTTCCTTTACTCGCGACATCGCCTCTTCGATCTCCTTTTGCGCGGCTTCGTTACTCTTCGCTTCCGGTTTGGCTATCGCCTGTGTCGAATGATAAATCTTGATCGGTCGATCCATCAGCTGTTTCCCGTTGAGCAGCAGCGCCGAGATCACCGCCATCTGCTCCGACAGTTCCACCAATGCGTAATGCTCGCTGTCCGAGTCCCTGCTGCACATACGCAGGTACTTGATCTCGACGTTGTTGTTGCTGAAGAAGTCCAGCAGTTGCTCGGGGCTCACCAAAGAATCCAGATTTGCCACCACAAGCGTCCGCCGGATCTCCTCGATACGCCTGCTATCCAGGTGACCTGGCAAATGTGGATAGGGCGGTAGACCGTTAGTCTCCAGCTTAGGATCCATCGTGGTGATTACATGATTTGGTGGGATACCCTCGATGGCGTTCACAACGTTTGGCGGCAGCTTCGGTTCTGATGGATAGAGACCTGAAAGAATCAACAGGATTAAATCTACATCAAATGTTTCAAGTAGCAGCCTAATATGTTAAATATTTAACCTTCTGTAGGCACATTTGTTTTTCTCACTTTCCATAGGCACACTGGAGATTTGAGGGTCAGTCCAGATTTTCTTATTGTTCTAAACTTTCAAAAAATCTGGTAAAAATCACGATTACTTGTCAAAATGTTTACTACATTATCTAATAGTTTTTTAAATCAAATGTTCAAAACTTTTTTTGACAAAAATTGGGATTTGGACAAAAATAAAGGAAAAATGGAAATATTTTTAAACGATTGAAATTTCGACTGTGCTTTCAAATCCCCAGTGTGCCTACAGAGAGTTAATATTAATTCTTAATCTCTATCTAATTTTGTTTGAGCGAGGCATTATATTGCAATATCGTTAGTGTAGTAAGATTATAATTTAAACATGTAAGTCAATCGTGTGATTTATACATTTTATTCTTACCTGGCACAACCGTGCCATTGTTGGTGAGCTCAAGAGCACGTTGCTCGTCCGGAATATCTCCGTTCTGGTAGGGGATCACTATCAATGCACGATCAATGAAGACTGTATTGGTCATGTGTTGCGCCACAGCCACGCAACCCTGGTCATGAAACTTGATATAACATATGCGGGACTGCACTGGTACGGCGACGTCTCTGATCGTCGGATATAACCTGATGTCTTCGATTTTACCCAGGTAACCGAAGAGCGTCTGCATCTGATCCTTGGTAGCCTGAGGCGCAATATTCGTCACTTGGACGACCTTGGTCGAGCCAACTGCCATCCCGGCTGTGAATTATTTGCGATTTTGCACACCTAGATTTTTTTTAAACTGCTTCTGACTCGAAGACGAGGTTATGGAGGTTAGGTTCGCCTACTTCGTGACTTGAAACGCGTTGCATCTCACGCGGATAAGCCAAATCTCGCCATTTGCGTTGATCGAACTTTGCTCCTACCTCCGTAAGATTCTTTGATAGTCTCTCGAAAAATTGTATCTTTGTATCGTGAAAAAAACACCTCTTCTCAATTTCTTCAACACTTGCTCCAGTTCTGTGTTCTGTCTTCTGTCTCGATCGGCGTTGATCGCCGACGAGTTGAAGTTGGCTGCATTTCTGAAAGATGTTATTTGTGATTGGCTGATTTCTATCGATTATCGCCAATGGTTCGATTCTATCGATTGTTGCCGATGGTTCGATTTTTTAAAAATATTAACAGAGAGAAGAAGCCTGAGAGGACTCACGCCGACGTTTTTCATAAGACAATAAGCTTTTTCTAGTTGATACAGTAGCGTCAATTAAATCCATTTTAGACCCGGCGGAACTACATGGCTAGATTCACTTTTCGGTGTCACGGTAAAACAACTGGTTAGTGCATGTGCGTACTAGATCTATAATTGTGGATCAAAATTGCGGAGAAATATTATGGATTTATTAATGTTTTACTAGCTGCGCGTGATGTTTTGCCATTCTAGTATATACTACGGACAGCGATAATAATTTTGAATGTGGTAGTGCATATCGATGCACATTAAAAGCTATTATATGCAAATTTATATAAGCATAAGTAATTAAAATAATAAAATATTTAATACTACAAGTCTTTTGAAAATAAACACATGACAATAAATACGCTCCGCTTAAAGCTATTTTCGCTCGAAAAACAAGATTCTTCATCCTTATTTGTCCACTAAACGCTTCGGAGCAAAAATAGTGTCTAACAAAATGCATTTATGAAATATATAAAAACTTTTATAAAATTTTTATATTTCTTATATTTTTGAACGTGATTTTACTTGATTAAAAAATTTTTGCAAATAAAATGACAAAAAGACGCGATATTATTCGGATAAATTTCAATTAGATATAAATTTAAAAATTAGATAAAATATTTTTTCTTATCTAAGTAAAAATTATCTGAATTATATCGTGTTTTTGTGTGTGGTGTCATTTTAATTAAAACTCTCATTAATCCATTAAAATTATTTAAAATTAATTAAAAATCTCATTAATTCATTAAATTATTTAAAAAATTACTTTCTAAAATAAAACATAATGTTTTAGCTTTTATTATACAGGGTGTTCCCGGATTAAATGGCCAAACTTGAAATATGAGTTTAGGACCTTAAAACAAGAAAAAATTTTCCTCTGGAAGTATGCTCGCAAACGCTTCGTTCAAGAGATATTGACTTCTGAAGTTATGAACTATAGTATAGGAACGAATAATTTCGAAATGTTTCTTTTTATTTTTTTTGTATGAGGTGTTCTCAAGCAAAAAGTTTATGAAGTGCCTATTAATGACCTTCAATCACTAAAACGGAGGATAGTGCAAGCGTGCGAAGAAATGACAGATGTACAATGTCAATCAGCCACTCATTCTGTCATTGATAGGTGCAATGCTTGTCTCCAAGCTGGAGGCTATCATTTTGAACAAAAATTTAATTATTAAATTTTGATTATTGTACAGCAATAAATAGAATAAACCTAGATTATTTCGAAATTATTTGTTCCTATAGTTCATAATTTCAGAAGTCAATATCTCTTGAACGAAGCGTTTGCGAGCATACTTCCAGAGGAAAATTTTTTCTTGTTTTAAGGTCCTAAATTCATATTTCAAGTTTGGCCATTTAACCCGGGAACACCCTGTATAAT